CTCACTTGATGATTTTATAATCTATTTTAGGTTGCATAAAATAATATGTTTTTGTTTATGAACACACAAAAAACTGTTGTATCTGATTAGTCTAACATAGAATTGGAAAGGGTTAAAACCCAAACACCTTCCACCAGGCCCATCTCCTACCCTGCCACATTGGGCATCAAATTTCAATATGAGTTTTTGTGGGAACAAGCCTCATAGTAATAATGTCAGGAAAGAAAATATTCATATAATGACTTATGAGTGGCAATAGATATATCAAAAATATTTGTAATTTGGGGATTTTTACTGATATTTTAGAGGTGTAACCAGTTATATTTTATTTTAATAGGAGAAACTACTAATATTTTTAAAAAATTATATATTTTTTATATGGTATAAATTATTTTCTATAAAACTAGAACTGTCCTATTTTTTCTATATATTTTTTTGTTTTTTTTAGAGACAGAGTCTCACTTTATTGCCCTTGGTAGAATGCTGTGGCATCACAGCTCACCAACTCCTGGGCTTAGGCAATTCTCTTGCCTCAGCTTACCAAGTAGCTGGGACGACAGGCGCCCACCACAACACCTGGCTATTTTTTTGTTGCAGTTTGGCCAGGGCTGGGTTCGAACCCTCCACTCTTGGTAGCCGGCACCCTACTCACTGAGCCACAGGCACTGCCCAGAACTATTCTGTTTTTAATGAAATTTGAGGCTTAGATGTATTTTTGTGTTTGAATATAAAACAGTAATGGTACTAATAATAGCAGCTAGTATGTATTGAATGTTCTCTATGCACTGGCAGGTGGTAAGCAGCTGTCTTCATGCCTTAGTGCTTCCCCTAACACAGGTGAATCAACATGCCCTTCTACCAGGAGGCTTACATATTGGGTCCAAGTTTACATTGCCTGTGCTAAACTGTGTTTCATTCTGTCTCCTAATGTCCAGGAATTCCAGATATTTGTGGTTGCAATAAAGGTTTTCCAAAACTGATAGATTTTGTATACATTTTAGTATTGAGCAAATAGAAAAGGGTGGGAAAGAATTTTATTCTTAAATTTGAGCTAAATTAAATACCATGTATTTTAATTTGAAATTTAACTTTTGTTGTATTATATTTAGATCATAATAAACTAAAATGGCAGTCTGGCTGGTTTTTCTGGGCCTAAATCTTTTGTGGTCAGAAAGAAGTTGACAGACTAGAAGGAATTGATAAATGTTGGAAATGAAATCCACTGTCTAGTCCTTCTTTAAATTGCTAAGATATCTCTGTTATAGTCAAAGCTTAAATTGAGCAGAATCTTAGATTTCCTTTTTTTTTTTTTTGTTGGAGTTGTTGTCGTTTAGCTGGCCCTGGCCGGGTTTGAACCCGCTACCCTCTGTGTATGTGGCTGGCGCCGTAACCACTGTGCTATAGGCGCTGAGCCATAGATTTCCTTTTTTATAAAAAGGATAGACATAGCTGGTATTTGTGTGTAAAAATAAGCCATCTCAATAAATGCCAGTATAGAAAGTTGAAATCGCTATGGTAAAGTAGTTTCAAATCACCAGAGTATTATTTCCCTGGTACTTTGACCTTACTTAAAATATGGGAATATTTTAGCTTAAACTATTTCCTATTCCCAGTTAAATTTCCTGTTGCATAGTCCTGCCAGTTTAATGCAGACAGCAGCCCTGCAGGTTTGCGGGGACAAGGCCATTTCTCTCTTCTGATAGCTGCCTTTTCTGTGATTTCTATTGAGGCCTGTATAGCCCTTAGGCAGGACTCTGGAAGCTTATTTTAGAGTGAGGAACCAGGAAAGAATTCAGGGACTAGGATCCTAAATTAGATTATTACTAGGTAAGTACTACTTTGTAGGTAAAAATAATTAGGAAAAGGCAAAAGTTTCTGAATTTGGTGTGTAAGAAAAGGTCAGGAACAGAGTACAGATTCAAAATCTTAAGAAGTGTGCTGTGTGGGCAGTACCACTGAGCCCCTGGAGGAAGGCTGCTGGAGTAGGGGAGGCTTTGTTCCTTGGCCTCAGTGGGCATGTTTCCTCTACAGGGATTGCTTGGGGTCAGTACAGGAGAGTGATGGGACTTGATGTCTGTTTATGATGTAAGGAAGCTGGCCAGGGAGAATTCTTGATAGTAGCAACCTTTGATCTTGACACTGAAGATCACTCGGCTTCGTAGGCAAATTGATGGAGAATATTGAATTACTTTTGAAGGACTATACTGTTACTTAAGATTAGATAGGGCTTTTCATGGAGTAACTGCTTTAGGAGCTTATTTATTGGTACTTGGTGGTTTTCCTAAGTGTGAAATTATTGCAGATAATGTGCAGAGTTAAACTGTTCCCTCTTTGAGAAGCAGGCATCTCAGTTACTTACTGTGGTTTTGTTCTCTGTGTTGTTTTCTTATGGCATGCACCTTTCAGAGTCAATAACTGAAATGTGGGCTGCCAAGTTTTTGTTTTTTATATTTTTACCATATTTTTAATTTGTTAGCAAAGCATTGCAGCTTTTATAATAACAAAAGGAAGTTGTAAGTGTCAGTACAGTATTTCAAGAAATTAACTACTGAAAGATTTTGAAGGAATCTTGAAAGTTTTGTGCATAACCTGTTATGTATGATTATTTTCTTTAAGTAGGAGAATATATCAGGGTTTGACTATTGTTTCCTTGTAATAGCTTTATTGGGATTGGGATATATTTTATATAACACAAAATATTTCCATTATAAAAGTATATAGCTTGATAATTTTCAGTAAATTTATACAATTATACAATTATCCTAATGTGGTTTGTTTATTTCTTTGGAAATAGTTACAGATTTACAGGAATTTACAAAAAGTCCAGGGAAGTTCCCTATATTCTCCACCCAGTTTTCTCCAGTAGTAACATCTTTCATAACTGTAGTACAAGATAAAGAGCAGGATATTGACATTACTACAATCCACAGAGCTTATTCAGGTTTCCACAGTTTTACTTGGACTTCTTCATATTTCATGTACCAGTTTTATATGTCCTCACTTGTGTGTGTGTGTTTATGTGTGTGTGCATAGTCCTGTGCCATCTTTCGACATTTTTAGATTCATGTAACCAACACTGTCCTCAAGATACAGACCTTCTCCATCAACACAGGCTTCCTGTGCTGCCCCTTGTAGCCATATTCACCCATTCCCTATGCCTATGCACTGACAATAACTAATGTAGTCTTAATTTCTAAAATTTTGTCATTTTAGGAATGTCATAAAGATGGCATGCAGTAAATAGCCTTTTAAGATCAACTTTTTTCATTCAGATTCACCTAAGTTGTAGCATATATCAATAGTTTGTTTCTTTTTATTGCTGGATAATATTCCATGGTATGGATATATTACAAGTTCAATTATTACCCCATTGAAAGACATTTGGATTGTTTTCTGTT